ACTAGGCCCAGATCATAACCTGGAGAATCTTCTTAAAATGGCCACAGTGGTCTTCTATCATAGAAATCAGCAAGAAGAGGAGAAAAAAGAAAAAAGGGATAAAAAAGGAATGACAGCTCTAGTAATGGCACAAACAGGCACCATTCAGGGGCAGAGAGAAGCCAGAGGAGCTAAGGGCAAGTGCTTCCAATGTGATCTAATCTCTCTTGAGGACAGATTGCCCCTGACAGCACTACCTGTCTGGCAAGCCACCAGGCCCCTGTCCAGAATGCAAAGGTGACCACTGGAGGGTAGTCTGTCCTTAGAGGTGAAGGCCTCCTGGGATAGTGATCCCATCAGCCTCCAAACAGGACTGAGGGTGTCCAGGGCAGATTCTCATGGCTCCAGCTTGTGTCATCACCCCTCAAGAGCCTTGGGTCTGCCTCATAGCAGAGGGCCAGGAGACAGAATTTTTTCTGGACACTGGAGATACCTTTTCTGTACTCCACTCTAACCATGGTCTTCTATCCCCCTAATCTGTAACTATATAGGGGTGTCTAGAAAGCTAGTCACCAAATTCTTCTCTCAGCCTTTAAGCTGCAATTGGGGCAACTGGCTGTTTTTCCTAATCATGCCTGAAAGTTCTGCTCGCCTCTTGGGGAGGGATATACTAACTAAAAGTGAGAACAACAATTTATATGAATATGGAGCAAGAACCTATACTATGCCTTCCCTTATTAGAGACAGAAATTAACCCAGAAGTGTGCATTACCAAGGGACAGGTGGGAAGAGCAAGATACACTCAACCAGTCCAAATTAAGTTTAAAAATCCCACCATCTCTCCCAATCAAAAACAATACCCTCTAAAAGCAGAAGCTAAGAATGGGCTTCTATCCATAATACAGAATCTAAAGCGACAGAAATTGTTGATACCCAAAGCCCAACAGAACTTGAAGACCAGTACAGGACCTCCGCATTATAAATGAAGCAGTCATTCCTCTCTATCCTGGAGTTCACAATCCATATACTTCATTATCTCAAACCCCTGAAGAAGCTGCCTGTTTCACATAAAAGATACTTTTTTCTGCATTCCTCTTCATGAGAATTCCCAATACCTTTTTGCTCTTGAAGACCCCTCTGACTCCAACACCCAGTTTACATGGACTGTGTTACCTCAGGGATTTAGGGACAGCCCTCACTTGACTGGACAAGACTTAGCCCAAGACCTGAGTTGTTTCTCCCATCCCACAGCAACTCTTATTCAGTATATAAATGACATTCTTTTGGGAGCACCAGATATGCAAGGAATGCCACAAAGCTACCCAAGCTCTATTAAACTTTCTAGCTGAAGGTTGAGGGTGGTGCCTGTGGCTCAGTGAGTAAGGCACTGTCCCCACATACCAAGGGTGTCAGGCTCGAACCCAGCCCTACAGTGGATTAAACATCATACTTACTACAACAGCCACCAATATCATAACTCATCTGAGGAATTACTGAGAACAAGACATTCTCCTGGCAAGCCTGGACACTCCCCTGGCCAAACTGCAACAAAAAATAGCTGGGCATTGTGGCAGGAGCCTAGTCCCAGCTATTCGGGAAGCTGAGGCTACAGAATAGCCTAAGCCCAAGAGCTGGAGGTTGCTGTGAGCTGTCACTCCATGGCACCCCACCAAGAGTGACAAAGTGAGACTCTGTCTCTAAAAAAAAAAAATAATAATAATAAAAACTTTCCAGCTGATTGTGGGTACAGTTTCCAAGGCTAAAGCCCAATAATGAGTACCTAAAGTGAAGTATTTGGGTCTCCAACTTTCACAGGGAAAGAGCTTTGGGTAAGGAAAGAATAGAACTAATATTGGGTTACCCTAAAGCTTAAATTCTCAACTTTGAGGCTTCTTAGGAATTACAGGCTTTTGCAGACTGAATTTCTGAATATAGTGAAATAACTAGACCACTCTATTCTTTTTTTTTTTT